CCATGTTAAGCTCTAGTTATCCACAGGGTGGCAGTACATAACCTACAAATCAGCAGCAGTGGTACAGGACAAATGACTCTGAATGCTGTTCACGCCACCATCTAATTAAATACGTTTATTTAAGATAAGCTGCGTTTCTCTACTTCACAAATACCTTGTCACAACTTTATATTCCTCACAGATGGAATTAAATCTTCATATCATCTGTATCTCCTCAGATATCACGTTGGTTTAGACAAAGACATTGGATCTACGTTGGAGGAAAACTATTATCATATCATTATTATATATAACTTCACATGAGTCTAATTATACCTCGCATCTTTGTTTTGTTTTCATGTAATCCACCAATGATAAAATAGGACATGGTGCAGTAAACCTAAATCAGTCATTCACACATTTATCACAGTCAAAACAGAAACAGATAGTATATTAAGGATGAAGTGATCTAGATGAGCTTCAATGTCAGAGACAAAACAGTGTCCAAGTTACATAATGCACGACTATTTAAAGATAAGCGTAACACAGTATTTTATTTTAAAATGACTCTGAATCTCATCTCATTCAAGCTTGATGTGTTAATCATAGACTGCACAAACGTTTACCGGTTGTGTTGTTAAAACACTCACAGCCCAGCACATACTGACTCCCCTGTTGTGTAAAGCAAGAGGGAGAATTTATGTGTTTTTTTCATAAATGCACTATTTACCTGCTTTTCTCATAGGCAACCTGATGCAGAGCACTAATTACATTTGTGTCACACTCCAGTGATTCATGCTGATGACCTTGAGAGCTAATGTTGACTTAGGATTTGAGCTCAGCATACTTAATTCATTTAGTGAAAAAATGAGTGCAGTGCTGAACCGCTGTTCATCTGCACGTCTGCACGTCTGCATCTGGAACAGGAACGTGCACAGACATTATAAAGGGCTGCCACTCGAATCATGATCATGATCTCTATGTAAGGTTTGAGGCCAGCTAGCTTTCTTTTCTATTGTTGAGCGATAAAAAAATTGAGTCATAAACATCTTGTGCATGGTCTCCGTTTGTGTTTTCTATCAGAGATTCAAACATGCAAAGTTATGGTCAGAGGAAGTTTTTCTAGAAAATTCCTTTTTAAAATTAAAGTCCTGTTTATGACTGTGTGTAATGCAGAAGCGCTCAGCGTGTTGGTAATATTAAACTCAGACACCACAGATGGTCAGAGGTCAAAAGTCACAAGCTATGGGCGGAAATACTTTTTTCTCACTTCTGATTTACACTGGAAGAAGGAATTCTGTCCTCTTGTGTAAATGCAGGTAATGAAATATATTGAAATATGAGAATATGAGGAAAACATTAGAGAAAAACAGTGAAAGGTGGAAAACATATTTGCAGGCTTTTTGTTTCACACTAGAGGTCGTGTTCATATGTGCTGTGAAAAAGTGCAGCCTCTCTGTTGATCCACATGGTGATGCTACCAGTCTCTGTTAAAAATAACAAAATAGTAATTTCATTAAAATACACACATATGTTTTTCCATTTTTCAAATATTGATTGAGGACAAAGGAGAAAAGAATAAAAACTCAAATTAAAATATGATTAAATCTTGATTGTATTTTATAACTCATAGAAAACAAAGTTACATTGGATGAAGTGTATCAACATATTGTATTTTACAGTATTAACATTCAAATCTTTAGTGTTGTTGTGTACCAATAAAATCATTTCATTAGTGTTTTATTAAAACCAGTAAATCAGAAACAGATATTCTTTTATGTGCTCTTTCAATGTTTCAATAAACATTTAAAAAGAGAAGCATAAAAGTGTAATTGCCGGCCGTCACAGAGGGAAGTGGCTGTTAGTTTGCTGGTTTAAATGTTAATGATAAATGACTGTGTGGGCTATAGTGCATCCGGAAAGCCTCCTACTGTATGGACAAGTAATGTATTCATTACCATGCTTGACTCTGGATTTAAGTGGTCACACAATCAGACTAAATTACTTTTTTTTTTCACTTTGCGGAATAAATCAAAGGTGTGGGTGGTGATTCAAAAGGTCTGGACTTAAGAGGTTAGAAGTTGTGCTGAGCTCTTGTTGCGATATGACCTCAGTCTGTCGCCCTCTTAAATCTAAATTATAATAAGATTGCTGCTACCTGTCCATTAAACTTTTGTATGTTACACTATTGTATTCTATATTTTATATTTTGTGTTTTTTTAATGCATGTATGCATGTTTGCTGTATTTGGAAAAAAAAGGCAAAGGCAAATTTCCACTGATGTGGACAATAATCAACAATAATCAGGACCCACTTTATTATTTAAAGCCTTAAATATAATTATATTATGTTAGAGTTTTTATAGTTTATTGGAATCTATCACAAACTGGATAACATTCAATTATGTAATGATACATTTGACTATTTGATTTGAGATACTTTTGTCTTGCAGCTCAGTGCTAAACCAAGTCTTTCATTTATCAAAATATGTTAAATCTAATTATGAATATATTATTAATTAGTTGTTGTAAATGATTCATGCTGGTGTGGTTTTTGTTGCTGTCGTTGGGAGTTTTACTTTGAAAGAGGAGACAGGGCGTTTTATTTTGAAGGTGGGATGTAAATGAGGATGCTGCTGAGTGACAGAGGTGTGGATGTGGAGGAGCTGTCTGCATGTGCTCGTGTTTACCAAGCAGCTGAGACAACGTTTGAACAATGTCAGATAAAACGGAGGTGAACCTGAGTGGAGTCAAACAAAGTAAAGGAGTGTGGCTCGTCAAGGTTTGTTATCAGAGGGGAACACACTGAATCCTGAGCTGCTCTTTATCAACAGGACAAACAAAGGCCACCTTGTGCTTTTCACAAATGTTTGTGATCATCCAACTCAAATTATTTAGGCCTATTTTAAGTTTATTTAAGGTTAAAGTCAGATGAAGCTTAATTAATCAGCTGTTTAATTAAAATGAGTCAACTAATTAAGTGAAATGACAAAATTGAGCTGTTGACCACTTTGTTTCATATTCATTATAAAAGTAATCAAAGGAATTACATTGATTTATTGCTAATATAAACAGATGTTTGAGTGTGTTTTGTGTCGATGCAACTTAATGATGCATCATATCTCTCAATAGGTTCCCAAGTATTTATCTCAACAGTGGGACAAGGCCACAGATGTTGGAAAGATTACCATTGGAAAGTATGTACCGAACAGAAATGTCCACCAGAAAGCCTGTAGCCCATTTTACTGATTATCCTCTCCTAATGACACTTAGTGTTAGAGCTGCAACGGTTATTTGATAGAAATGATTGGTTGATCGGTCAATTGATAAAAAAAAAAAATCCTGGGCAACTATTTTGAGAATAGAATATATTTTTAATTAAAATACCAAACATTTGCCAATTTCATCTTCTCAGATTTAAATGCCTGTCTTTGTCACACATGAACTGACCACATTAGAGTTTTCAGCTGTTGATCTGACAGAAATAAGCAACTTCAATTTGACTTTTTATGGGCAAAACAAGTAATGAATTAATTAGCAACTTCCAGAATTGAGACAAAAAGGTCCATATCAGTCGATATTCATAATTATCACGATAAATGTCACTTTTTTTTTTAAGTTTAAAGACTGATTTTTGCTTCTGAGTTAGGGTTGTATTTTTCTCTATGAGTAGAGAAAGACAAATGCTTGATTTACAACAAAACATTTTATAAATCTGAGGTAGCTCAATTATGTTGTGTACCTCCTCGCTGTGCTTACACAATGTGTAAGAATTATATCAATATATATTGGACTTTTGTTATATTGATAATGATAAAAATTACATTACAATAAGTATTGATATTGTTTTATTGCCCAGCTCAAGTTGCAGCCGTATAATAGTGTCAGTGATGCATCTTTTTTTGTCTGTCTCCTCACATCGCTGCAGGAAACAAGGAAAAACAGAGGTGAGACAGCTTCATGTAATTCTTCACATACAGTCGGGCTATTGGCAGTGACTGAAACATTGATTTCTGACTGTGATGAGATGATCTTTTAAACCTTCTCAACAACACAACATAGCTTTTACTGCTTGTTGCTCATGATGTTTCCTCACCTGTTTAATCTGCCTCCTCTCTCCCTGTTTCTTCTCTGTTGTATCAGTAAAAGTTTCCTCGTACCTTATCTGACCTAATCTGATGAATCAGAGAGAAGGTTGTAGTTGGCCGCGTCTTGACTCAGCTGTGTTTCTCAGGTGCGTTTCAGCCTGAGCGCGGAGCTGAGCGCCCTGCAGAGTGCTGTGGGGGAGAAAGATGGATCGCTGCAGGTCCCGAGGGATCATCCTTTCACCATGCACACAGTGGGTGGACAGACCATGGCTGTTTTCAGCCAGAGCAGCACAGGTCAGTCTGCAGCTCGGCTCATCCAGCCCTCTCTCTTTACTGCTTCTTTGAATGTCATCTGAAACCTGTTTGACAGGTGGCAACACAAGTTCAAACTGAAATAGATTTGATAGTGTATATGATTCATGTAATGATCCACAGCTCAGTGTGGTTTATGAGCTTGGTCCACATCCAAAGAATATATGATCTGTACCTATACTGCAGAAACTGTAACTGCAGATCAGTCTGAAAGTGGGAGATGAGAAAAATGTGTATATGCATGTCAGAATTATAATATTATGACAGTCCTCATTTAAATACACTGAATTGCATAGACTCATAAATATGAGTCCCCTAAACATGCCTAATTTTCTATATCCATAAATCATTCTTTGAGAAATAAAAGAAAATGTAAATAATTCCTTGATCCACACCAAACTCTCATGGGTTTTGTCCCTGACCCTTATCAAAGTGCTAAAAACAGGTCAACTGGACTTGGTTGAGTTTCTTGAAGACATTTCACCTCTCATCCAAGAGGCTTCTTCACTTCTAACTGACCACTGGGAGACCCACACTGCTGAAAACAAATGGGTGAAAACCTCCCTGGTAGATGTATTAACAGTGATCTTAAATCTGAAACACAGTTTGAGTTGAAGTTTGGATGACTTTCTTGCTCTGTGTTATATCTTATGTTTGTAATTGTAAATTGTATGAAATTACCCGTAGCCTTACTTCTCATAGTTTTCTGAGGTTTTCTTACTTTGTAGGGAAGCTGTTTTTTGAGAGATTCCAGATTGATTGCACTCGAAATTCATGAGAATTGTTGGAGTGAATTTCTGCTGCCAGGCGTGATGTGTCACACTGCGTTCAGAGCCAGAAGGATTTATATCAGATATAGAGCACAAAAATAAGTGTCACTGTGTGTGGTTCAGTGTCTAACAGCATGTGCCTGAGAATTATAATAGATTAGGGTGCTACGTTTAATTGGATAAAGATTTATGTGATCACTTTAATGTAAGGTACCAAAAAAATAAACAATAATAACCTCCATTTAATTAATTGTAGAAGGCAATCACGGAAATTCAAATAGAAGCTACAATGGGAAAAGTAAGTGAGCTGGAGTAAAATCAAAGATGAAAATATCTCTGTAACTCAGCAGGACGCATGGCGTTCAAATCAGCAAAATCCTAGAGCTATTCTGTTCCTCCCCGGGTGCCGCTGCTCAGAAACAAAGAAATTACTGCTTCTCGAAGGATTTCTGAAACACTTCTGAAGGTGTCTGTAATTGGGTGTTGATGGCATGAAAACAACATGTTCTAAGCATATACCCCATTTTCAGCCAAATTAGTTAAATGGAAAATGATGTTTGACCAAAACTCTTTTTTGAAAGGTGGAAATGTAAATTCAGATTGAGCAGGTAGTGGTTTTCAGTTTGGAGGGAAAGGGGCTGGCAGGAAAAGATCCAGAAAATGGGGCTTGGACATTTGCGTCCTCGTGTGCAGCCACTGTAGCTAATTTCAGGAGATTATCCAGAGTTCAGTGCATTTCTGAAAGCAGCTTCTGTGTCTCTCTGCAGTCACAATGCTGAATGCTTCAATCAGAGCTAATGAACGTTAAACAACAGTTAAATTGACTGAAATTACTGCAGTGCAGGGGATTTTGTGTGTGATTAATAGAACTGACTGAGACAGAAGGAAGGAGTGGTTTGTTTGCATGTCCTGCCACTGAGGGACAAATGGACCAGTCCCAGTAGTTGCAGTCTGCCACGCCAACCTGTAGTTATATTTCTAGGAAGGTGCACATCAGACCAAAGCGGTGGCTATGCTGTACCTCAGCCATGCCTTTGCTGTTAAAGGGCTTCATCTTCCTTCTCCTCTACAGTGAAAAAGGACAGAGACTAAGACAAAATCATTGTCAAAGCTTTTCAGTTGACTCTCTGCAGGAGGAGCAAAGAAAACAACCCATTGATTTCAAATTCTGAGAAACAGCCACCAGAAACAGGAAGCTTTTAAATAATTGTTTGATTAAGTCACTGAGCAGACGGTAAAACAAGATCCAGACAAACCAGAGGAACACCAATTAGATTATATCTGTCATCAGCCGAGCACATGATAAAGAGATGAATTACACTGGAGCGCTACATGATGTTAGCTTAATCTGTAAT